GTGATGCAGTTGCAAAAACGTGCAGGTCGGCATTGGTGTGGCAGGATGGTGCCCAACACTTACGGCTCCGGTCGGGATCTCGAGACGTGCTGCTTCCTATTTTACTGGTCATTCCCTACCTGGGTGCCCAGCTGTCTTATGACAACTTTGAGCTCCAGACGTGCAAGACCCGTGCTCAGGCTGCTCAGCAAAGATTCCTGGAGCTGGGACGTGTTCTACGTTCCAGGAGCTCCCTTTCCACCTCCCACAGGTTGCGGCTCTACTTGGCCACGGTGTGGCCCTCACTGATGTATGCCATACCGTATGTCGGGATCAACTCGGAGGTTTTTCGTTTGGTTGTCTCTACTGTGTCAGGTCACCTTCGGAAGATTCTCAGAGTCCACGAGGAGGGGATCAGTAATCTACAGGTTATGCAGCAAGCCAAAGTTGATCCGGGTGAATTTCTCAGCTTGCAGATTGGCCGCAAGGAGGACTCCATTCGTGCTGATCTTCATCGTTGCCCGGACATGAAGGCCCCGGAGTTGGATCGCGCAGGGCAGCTCTGTTGCAAATTGTATGAGGTTCTCTTGCATACCAGCAAATCCTCGGCGACTTCGTTGGTTTCTTCGGTGTTGACCCCGGTGCTTGAGTCCGCGAACCTGCCGTGCCCAGAGTGTGGTGTGTATTATGTCACGAAGGAAGGCCTGCAGATGCATATCAAACATCGACATCCGCACCTGAATCAACAGGCGAGGCTGCCCTTTCGACGTGATGAGCATTCTCTCTTTGGTCTGCCGATCTGTCGGTTCTGCAAGGCGCGCTTGTTTGATTGGAAATCGCTGGGGCGGCACATCACTACCGGTACCTGCTTGAGAATCAAGGAGTTTTTGGCGGAGGGGCTGTCGGAACCGCTCATGCTACAACGACTGGCGGCCGAGGAAGCTGCAGCGCCTACTGCTCCGCCGGACGGGGCCCAGTCTGGAGATACGGTTCATGCGCAGGTGGAAGATGCGTTACGGTTGTCCAACTCTCAGTTGGCGAAGCAGGGTGAGTCTCTGCGAGTGCTGGCCAGGCATTGTGCTTTGTGCAAGCAGATCATCAAAGCTGCCGGCAAGATCAAGGTGCATTGGGGGGCCACGCATCCCAGGGAATATGCAGCTGTGAAGGGCTCTGCGGAAGCAGAGGCCAGAAGCCTTGTCGCTGTTTTCAGAAGCCCTTGTCACCTTTGTGGCAGTGGGGCCAAGCAGGCTCGGGACCATGCGGGGAAGTGTGCATCCCTGTTTCAGTTGTTGGCAATGCGACAGTTACGCGCTCGGGGATTCTCTTCGCCTGTACCTTCGAGTGGACCGGCCCTCAAACAGGGCGAATCAACGCCACAATATCAGCTCTTTCGGCAGCACACCACGCCGTTAGGACGAGCCTTTGGACTACGCCCTGTGGACGACGCTGCGGACTCCAGTGGACGGGATCAGGCGACAAGTGAACGGCCTGACAGGGAACCCCCGACTGCTGAACGATTTCTTCCGGCAGGTGTTCATGT